GGGGCCCTCTGACATCCCAAGCCAGTTCTTAACCATCGTGCCACTAGGCCGGCCCTATTTATTTAATTTTAAATTTTTATTATTTATATTTTAATTGGGGAATTGGGGGAGGGGAACAGTATTGGGGAATTGGGGAGGGGGACCAGCCAAGTTATTGTTCTTCAATCTTAGTTGTGGAGGGCGCCAGTCGCCACCTGGCTTCCTGTTGGCAGCTTGTGGCCTCTAAGCTCAAGGTGCTGTGTTACAATCTTAGTTGTGGGTGGACGTAGCCAACATCCCATGCGAGAGTCAAACCAGGCAGCCTTGTTGTTCAGAGCGCATGCTCTATCCACTGAACCATTCAGGCGGCATCTCAGCTCAAGATATCAAGTTCAGTGTTAGTTGTAGGCGGGCGTAGCCCACCATCAAACAGGCAATCTTGTTAGGAGCACGTGCTCTCACCAGCTGAGCCATTCTGCCACCATTTGGCAGCTCAGTGGCAGTTCAGCTCGGGCGCAGTGTCACTGGCCCATGTGGGGATCAAACTGGTGGCCCTGTTGTTCAGAGCTCATGCTCTTAAGTTAACTCTTAACCAACTGAGCCACTTGGCCGGCCTGAATAAGATTTTTAAAAATTCAAATTGATACACCAAAGCCCTAGTTGAGGTTGGGAATCATAAATTGATGAATCAGCATTTGAAGATTTTACCCAAAAAAACCCCAAAAAACTCAGGGAACTTACCGCCAGATTGTTTCCTGGGCTCTGAGGTCCCTAGCCAGCTTGCCTTTTTTCTCTACCTTTCAGAATATTCTTATATTTATCAAAACAAAGATATTCTCAGAGATATAGAGAAAAACACTGATGGTTGCTAGATGGGAAGCAGGTAGGGATGGGGGAGAAAGTGAAGGGATTATAAAATATAAAGTAATAGTCACTGTATAGTCGCAGGGATATGAAATACAGTATGGGGAGTATAATCAATAATGTCGTAAAGATTATGTAGGATAACAGATGGGTAATGGATTTATCAGGGCGATCACTTCATGGACTGTGTAGATGCCTGAACACTGTGCTGTACACCTGAGGCTGAAGTAGAATAGTACTGAATTCCAACTATAATTAAATATATATATATATATATAGTCACAGGGTGTAAACTACAGCATAGGGACTATAATCAGTGGTACTATAACAGCTATATACAACGTCAGAGAGGTAGTAGATTGAGGGGTTTATCACTTTGTGGGGGAGGCGGGGTATAAATGTCTATTACATTGCTTTGTACACCTGAAACAAACAAACAAAAGAAGCAGCCATGCTACAAGAATGAACAACATATAATAAAGGAATTTAGATGGATAAATAAAAAATAGCAAACAACAATAAAAAAGAATCTCCTTATGTTTGTTTTATATATAATATCTAAGGTTTTTAGTTTTATTTAGTGAGAGGAGTAAGACGTGTGTCTACCCTATCTTGTCTAGAAGTAGAAGTCCCCATTACATTTTCTGACTTGTCATTTGTATATAGAAAAGGTATTTACTTTCTGTATTATTTATGTACCTGTCTTAGTTTAGGCTGCTATAACAAAAACAAACTAGGTGACTTATAAACAACGGAAATTTATTTTTTATAGTTCTGGCAGCTGTAAATCCAAGATCAAGGCACTAGCAAATCTGGTGTCTGGTGAAGGCTCTCTTTCTGGTTTATACACAGCTGTCTTCTCACTGTGTCTTCATGTGGTAGAAGGGGTGAGGAAGCTCTCTGAGGTCTTTTTTATAAGGGTATGAATCCCATTTATGAGGATTCCAACCTCATGACCTAATCACCTCACAAAAGCCCCACCTCCAAATACCATCACATTGGGGGTTAGATTACAACATATGGAGTTGGGGTAGAAACAAACAGTCTATAGCAGCAATAAAATTCATATTTTACCGAATTCTTTAGTAGTTTTTCTATAGATTTTCTTTTTTTTTTAATTATTTTTTACTGTGAAATACACATTTTTTAGAATTAGTTTCAGCTGTACAACACAGTGCAATAGTTATATTTTTTACCCCTCAAAGTGACAACCCTCCTCCCCCAATCCGCTGCCCCACTCCCCCCCATACATACATATCATACATATCTAGATCATACATATTGTAGTAGATCATACATATCTACTACAATACCCTTGACTCCACTCCCACACTATACTCCACATCCCATGACCATATATATATATATATATATATATATATATATATATNATGACATTTAAAACTCAGACATTTACACATAAAAATCTGGATTTCTGTCTTCTTGCAAAGCAAGGTTGTGAAAATACTGGGTTTACATTGGGAGTAGGGTAAGAATCAGCTGCCACTGAGAGAGAACTTGTGCTGTCCAATTTGTCCCAATCCCCTCCATCCCTGTTGTATTCCACCCAACCCTTCATTGATTCACCTTCCAGGCTTAAAATCTGTGGGTATTAGTGGTGAGGGCTCCTCTTTTAACCAGAGCTTGGTTTGTGCCTGATTTCTGACAAGACTCTGTAAATGGGACCATTGGTCAGGAGAAGAACCAAACATGATAACTTATTGCATAGTTTGCTTGGTGCCCAGGCACTGGCCTTCTGGGACTTCAGAAACAAGCTTCAGAGGCCCTCCCCACTTCTGTGGGAAGCCAGGCCTGTGTTCTTGCATGTCAGTCGGCCACCTCAGTAGGTCTGCACCTTGACAGAGCCTCTCAGGGCTGTTCCCAGCACAAGGGCTGGCCTTTATGAGTGAGGACAACAACAGCTAAGTCAGGCCCAGAAGGCCATAAGCTTGGCAAGGTATCCTTGGCTGGTACCAAGTCAGATACTATAGGGGCCAAGTGAGCAGTTTGAATGAGTTAAGCAGGTAAGACAATAGGTAGACAGTGAGGTGTGGTGGGGAACAGGGCACGTGTTCCTGGTGTGACGGGAGTAGTGCCTGTTCAGCTCCAGCCACTTGCTGCTGGTAGAAACTGAGGTCCAGCGTTACCTGAGCTGACTTGTTAGGAGAAGCTGGGGATCTGGATTAAAGGCCTGATCTGTAAATGCTGCCGGTTGGATTTGTTTTATTTTTCAAATCAAATGTGAGCCAAGCAAAATAGATCTGTAGTCCTCCTCTGCCCACAGACCACTTTTTGCATCCTCTGGAGCACTGAGGCCATTGGTCTCTGCCCCTGGAGGTCATTGGGGCATATCTGGCCCATTGTTCTCTGTGGGACTGAGGAAATAGAATGGGGGCAACCCAACCCACCCTCTAAAGGAGACGGTCCCCATGGGTGGGCCCTGGTCTCTGCCAGCCCCAGAGCCTGCCCCTGCAGAAGGAGCTTAGTGTGGCCTTTGTCAGTCAGGCCCTCTGACCCTGGCAGAGCTGGACACCATCAGCTCCCTGTGGAAGCCAGGAGCCTCCGCATGAAGCCCCAGCTCTGTCACCACGTGAGCATCGCTCTTCTTCCTTGCTGCTCTTAACCACTTTGCGCTTTCCTCTCCTCACCTTGAGGTGAATAAAATCCTTTTCACTGTCTCAGATATTCTAGTCTGTAGTCCCGTGCCTGTCACTTCCTATGGCCATAAGTGGTTTATCAACATATCCTCCCGTAGACCTTTCCATCTACTGTCCTCCCTCCCACACCCTCACTCCTTTCCTGAGTTGCCTCCCTCCCTCCCTTTCATTCTCTGTCTACCCAACAAATATGTATTGAGAACCTACTTTGCCAGTTGCACTTCCTTCACCTTAAGAGCTGTCATGGTGATACAGCTACTACCTTGATACCCCACTCGTGAGGTTCAGGCCACCGTTGTTTGTTGCCAAGTAAGATCTGTGGTCAAGTGGGAGAAAAGGAAAAGATCAAGTGCTGAATCAGTCAAGGAAGGTTTTCTGGAGGAAGTGAACTTAAAATAAGGGATAGAATTCAGAGACTGGAATAAAGAAGGGAAAACCAGATTGTTTTTCTCCTTGCAGGTGTTGGTGGCAATCTGGTGGCCATTCAGACCAGCCGGATCTCCACCTACCTACACATGTGGAGCACACCTGGGGTGCTACCCCTCTGGATGAAAAAATTCTGGCCTAACCCATGCTCCACTTTCTGCACCTCAGGTGGGTCTGATGTCTTCCAGAAGCCATGTGACTATTTCTTTAAACAAGTAAATGAACATCATTGGAATCTGGGGCTTGTAGCAATGTCTAAGACCAGTGCTGACTTCAGCACAGATCATCTTCAAGGGCACAGCTCCTTCTCCCAGAGACCTGACTCCCCAACCCTGCCTTTGATTCATTCATTCACACAAATATTTATTGAATGTCTACTAGGTACTAGGTGTCAGTTTACAGCAGTGAGAGAGAAAACTGTTTCTTGTCCTTGTGGGTATAAGTGGAAAAACAAACATACCAAAAAATGAACACATGATTACAAATTGTTATATGTTCTAAAAGACAAAGAGCACAGGGTATGACAAAAAAGAATTAAAGGAGATACTCAGATTTGGTATTAGAAAGCTCCTGTCTGAGGATGAGCATGGGTTGGTTGGGGAGGAGGCATCCTGGAGCAGGACAAGCATTTGAGGCAGAGGGAACAGCCTGACAAAGGGCCAGAGGCAGGAAGTAGCTTGATAAGTTTGAAGAACTAAAAGGCCAGTGAGACGAGCATAATAAGCAAAGGAGAGGATGAAGGAAGCTGAGGTCAGAAAGGTAGGAAGCAGCTGATCATATAGGGTCTGGAAGCTTGAGAAAGGAGACTGGATTTTCTATTCTGAGAACCACTGGAAACCACTGGAGGTGTTTTATCTTTTTGTTGCTTTTAAAAATTGGATCTTTCTCTTATTACATTTTCTTTTATCATTTCCTTTCTGTTTTGGGACTTATGTTTAGCCATTCTTTTGGGATAGGTCTGCTGGCATATTCCTGAAGGTACTTTCACTCGGTAAAAATTTGACAGTTCTTTCCAACACTTAAAAAGTATGCTGCTTCCTTCTGACCTTTATGTTTTCTGATGAGAAATTGCTGTCATTGAAATGGTTTTTGCTGTATACATAAGGTGTCATTAAGTCTTGCTTATTTCAAGATTTTTTTCTTTTTAGGTTTAGGATTATGATGTGCATTGGTATGTATTTCTTCAGATTAACCTACTTGGTGTACACTCAGTTCCCTGAATACACAGATTTATCTTTTACCAAATTTGGGACATTTTAAGCCATTATTTCTTCAAATACTTTTTCATCCCCACTTTCTTCCTCCTTTCCTTATGGTGTTCTGATGATGTGAATGTTAGAACTTTTGTTATAGACCCACAAGTTCCTGAGGCGCTCTTAAACTTTTTTCCCAGTATATGTTTACTCTTTGTTATTTAGATTGGCTCATTTCTATAGTTTTTTTCTTCAAGTTCACTGATTCTTTCCTCTGTCCTCTCCATTCTGCTATTAATCCCATTCAGTGAGTTGTTTGGACTTTTTTGGCTGTTGTGTTTTTTTCAGTTCTAAAATTTCATATGGCTCTTTTACTTCTTTTCTGAGACTTTCTATTTCTTTACTGAATTATCCTATTTTTATCATTTGTTTCAAGTGTGTTTGTAATTGCTGGTTAAAGCATTTTTAAAATGGATTTATTAAAATTGCTTTCACATAATTCTAACATCTGTGTCATTTCAGTGTTACTATCTGTTGTCTTTTCTCATTGTGATTTTTCCTGCTATAATGAGTGATTTTAGATTGAATCCTGGACATATAGAGTATTATGTTATGAGACTATGGATTTTACTTAAGTCTTCTGTTTTAGCTGGCCTCCTCTGATGCTGCACCACTGTGAGGAAAGGGAATGCACTGCTTCCTTACTGCCAGGTGGGGGTGGAAGTCCAGATTCCCCCTCCTTCTCCATTGACACCCTCCTGGAAAAGGAGCACCTTGTTACTGGTGGGAAGGGTAGAAGTCAATGTCCTTCTGACACCACCCTTGCTGGGAGGGAAAGGGGTCCCTTGTTATTGCTCCCCACATGGCTTCACTGATATGGTGGTTGGGGATGGGGAGGTCCTTGTTATCACTAGGCAGGGTACAACTTATTTTCCACACAGCCAGAGGAATAAGTACCACTTCCCACCTAGATGAGGGCAGAAGTCCAGACTCTCTACTTGGCCTTTGCTGATGGAGGTAGGGCTGCTGTTTTTCCTGAGATGTTTGGCTGAGGTAGAGCAGTTACTATCTAAAAGTTTTCTAGTTTGCCAGGCTGCCCCTTTTCTGGACTTTTGGCTAGAGAAAGCAGGGTTTTGTTGTCTTTTTTTTTTTTTTTAATTTAATATGATCAAAAACTTTTACTGCTTTATCAAGGACATTCTTAAGTTAAAGTGACATTTTGTTTTCTGCAAGTGCAGGGCAGTGAAAAATACAATTAGTATTACTGTTTGGTAACACTGTCTTGATTTGTACTATGGTACTATCGATTTCACCCACCATTGCTGTTCCACCATCACTGCAAATACCAACACAATGAAAAGGCAAAGGATGTCTTAATATTATTATAAAAATAATTTTCACCTCATAAACCATGAAAAGCGTCTCAGTGACCCCCAGTTGTCCACTGACCACAATTTAAGGACTGCCAGGGAAGACAATGAGAACAGAAGGTACTGATGATTGTTTTTTTTCCTCTTTCAGTTAAAGAACTTTTGTCTGATGAAAATAAATGGAGTATGGGTGGGGTATTAAGGATAGTGGTAATTTTTCTGAAACAATTTTGCAGATAATAAGGAAGAGAGTTGAATAAGGTTTTTATTTTATTTATTTATTAAAAAATTTTTTTAAGGTTTTTATTAGGGAATTGGGGGGATGGGAACAGCGCTGGGGAATTGGGGAAGGGGAACAGATAAGTTGTTGTTTTGTTCTTCAGTCTAGTTGTGGAGGACGTTGCTTAACTGGTACAAGTTGGCACCATCATTGCGCTCTTCCCAGGCGAGG